GAGAACTAGAAAGGCGAGGCTCACCACCCATTTATTCCTCCGCCTTTCAATTAGCCCCACATGTGATTATCGGCCGGGCTGGCACAATTAACTAACTCACCAGTGCATTACTAGATATTTAGCAGTGTCCTTGGCCTCAGCTCCTTGGATGCCAGTAGCAAATTAATTATAATAAGCAACAATATTCCCAGACCTTTCCAAACGTCCCTCCATAGGCAAAATCTCTCTAGTTGAAAACCCTGGGTTGGAGAAAACAACTGGAAAAAAGTGCAACATAGTTACCGGTTTCTGAAAAATTACTTTGTATTTTTTCCAGGTGAGAATGATTAAATGATAATGATTAGGTTGAATTTTTATTGGAGAATGTAGTATTTTATAAAGAAAAATATGTAATATTAAATTGTTGGCCAAATGTTAATCAAAGAGGCTATATATTTAAAAAATCTCATTTCTAAAGCAGGTGACTAATGAAATAAAGGAAGCAGCCTTTTGTTTGTAGTAATAAATACATCAGTTTACTAAATCCTGGCTTTGAAAAGTAGATTCATACTTGGGTTCTGACGTTCCTTTTCTTCAAAGTAGTTCTGGGCATTTTATCTTTCAGTAGCCAATGTGCCTGTCCTTTCACCCAGCAACATCATTTCTGGGGAAATGGTGGCTCACCCATGTGCTTGGTTGCTAACCGAGAAGGTTGGTGGGTTGAGTCCTCCCGGAAGTGCCCAGACAGACATAAGGCCTGGCAGTCTGCTTCCACACATCAGCCATAGAAGGCTCTATTCTGACACAGAATCCCATAAATAGGCTTATCAAAATATACTAGGATTTATACTGTTATATTTCATTACAGCTTTATTGATAATATCAGAAAGAAGTTAAAAATGAAAACAGCACAGCCATCACCTAGAAATCCATAATTAAGAAATTAAAGTTTATGTTACAGCACTTCAGGTCTTGAAGTTACAGTTTAGATTGCAAACCTCTTTAACAATGTGGCATTGAATGAGTTGGATGAATTGATGATTTTTAAGCTGTGTAAAGCTTTTTCTTATTTCTGTGGAAATGTTTGTGTGCATATGGACACTTCCAGGCATCTATTAAATTTTTTTGATAGCTGATTTTGTCTTACTTATTTAGGTCATGAAACTTGTGTAGAGCTTCTTTTGGAGCAGGAAGTTTTCCAGAGAATGGAAGGAAATGCTTTCAGTCCCTTACATTGTGCTGTGTAAGTAAAGCTAGAATGAATCAGACTGGTTTGAGTGTTTCAGAAATATTCCACTGCCATGAGAGTGATCGAACTTTGTTGCTTTATGCAGGATAAATGATAATGAAGGTGCTGCTGAGATGTTAATTGATAATTTGGGTGCCACCATTGTGAACACCTCAGATTCCAAAGGAAGGTAGGAATTCAATTGTGTGTGGTAAAAAGGTTTATTTTCAATAGCCAAAACATGTTTTGTGAACCTAATATATGAGAATTTACATTAAAAATATTTTTTTACATTTGAAAATATAAATTATTATGAATTCGTAACTATTTTTGTGCCCTCAACACAGCATTTTCTATTGTTTGTTTTAGTCAATGTACTTCTTATTTTAAACCTAAAATAAGTTTTACCATTTATTTAAGTGTGTTTGTTACTCCAAGACATAATAAAAGTTAACTTTTCTAAATAGGAATAAAGACTAGAAGAGAATCTATCTGTTATAAAAAGTACTCGGGTCAATATTTCTTTCAAATTTTTCATTAATGTTGGCTTAGCAATTTGATAATTTGTCCTGGTTTTATATTCTAGTTTAATTGGGGCTTTTAAATAAACAAAAGTGCTAAATTATTTGGCAGACGTTAGTAATCACCTTTTAAACTTATTTGTCTCCATGCAATGCTTTCATAAGCTACCGTGTCCATGCTTCAGATTTAGCCACGGCCTCACTGTCTCTGTATTGCAGAACTCCTCTTCATGCAGCCGCCTTCACGGATCATGTGGAATGCCTGCAGCTGCTGCTCAGCCATAACGCCCAAGTCAACTCTGTTGACTCCTCTGGAAAAACACCTCTGATGATGGCTGCAGAAAATGGGCAAACAAATACAGTTGGTAAAAGATGGTTCAAGGATTTTTGTTTTCTAAGTATATTGTTTATATACAAGTTAGATCCCTGATCTCCTAATTTGTGGTTCATTGCAGTTTTCCACCAGGTATCTCGAACTCCTGAGGTTTAAAATAATTGATTTGCCTACAACTCACCTGTCATTGAGGTCCCCAGTGTTTTTTCATTTGGTCCTTACCGACTGAGCAGTCTATAAAATAGACTGAATAGTCTACTTTAACTACACTCTCCATCTAACTAAGAAATACCAGCTCTTCTTGAGTCAGACTTCCTGAATCTGGGTGCTAGATAAGTTGATAGATAAGCAGAACACTTAAAACCATATTAGATATTTATTAAGCATTCACAAAATAAATATTGGTTGCTAGTGTGTGTTTTACATAACAGGATAGTTGTTCGATGTAGTTATATAACAAAATTATATTAACCATATGTTACTAGATTTTTCGTATGCTTAACTTTTTGCTTGAGAGATACTTTTGTTTTCTCTTTATTTCTCTATGGTGAGTTATTGGTAATCTAAGAAGCATGTTCGTAAACCCAAGACTTGATGATTTTTTTTTTTCCCCAGAGATGCTGGTTAGCAGTGCTAGTGCAGATCTGACTTTACAAGATAACAGTAAAAATACCGCCCTACATTTAGCTTGCAGCAAGGTATGTAATCACTCAGGGGCAGGGGAGGCAACTACTATTTTATTATGGGTTACACATTGCCACTGCAAACCACCAGGCCAGCAGTTTGAAACACCAGTCACTCCACAGGAGGGTGATGAGGCTCTCAACTCACATAGTCAGTCTCATAAACCCACAGGGACAGTTCTTACTCTGTCTTATAGTCAATTGACTTAATGGCAGTGAGTTTGGTTTCTAATGTGAATTAGGTGAAGGTTTACACAATAAATAAGGTTTTTATTCAACATTTCATACAAATTTGTTTTTCAGGTCTTTGCTTGTGATCCCACTAGTGTACCATCTCTTATCCTACTGCCTTCCTGTGTCCATTCATCCTTTCTAAGCCCTCTGAACTTCATCCTTGATAAAAGCTCCCATTTTGAACTCAAATGGTTAATTATTCTAAGGTGTGTGTCCCTCCCTAGTTATATTCTATCGTTGCCCTTACAGCCTCATCTATTGTTTGACTGAAAAGCAAGTCATGGAATGAGTTCATTTCTGGGCCTGAAGGGTGACTTAAGGACTATAGTCTGTGGGATTCAACCAGTCTTCGTCCGGCCACATTGTTGTTCACAGTTACGTTCCACATTTTTCTCCCACGCTATTCAGGACATTCTAGTGCCATCTCTTTGGGAGTTATTGAAGGTGGCAGCCAGGCACCAACCAGTCCCTCTGGTCTCAGAATCTGAGATTGATGTTGGTGTGGTCCATTGGGCTAATTGTTGCTATGCCTCTCTGAATTTCTTCGCTCCTTTCTTCAGTTATGGAGACCAAGAGTCGCACGTTAGATGGCAGCCTATGAGCTTTTAATAGGACCCCAGTTACTACTAGGCTGTGTCTTTGTTAACTGTGATGACCCAGTTGACTTTAGTGTCTTTTAGACTGTAGACTTGCGCTCTTGGGCCGAGTGACGCATTCCTTCAAGATTTTCGAGTATGTTTAAGAAGTTTTCATATCATTGCCCCTATGTACTCATACCATATTTGTGGATAAATTTGCAGCATAGGGAAACACACATCTCCCCATACATCTACTTGTAGATCTTCATTGTTGCAGTATTGTCTTTAACTCTTGTGCACTCCCTAGTCGCTTCTGCCACCGTTTTGTTGTTATTGTTTTCTTATAACCCTTTACTCCGGTTAACGCATATCTACCCTCTAGCCAGTAACTTAACCCTTCTTGTCTCTCCTACCCCTGGATACCATCAAAGAATATTTCTTTTATTGTGTAAACCTTTTCTTTATCATAGTTTACTCAGTCAATATCTGTCTTTACTTACTTTTATTTCACTCGGCATAATTTTATGGACATATTTTTATGATTAATAGGAACTTTGATATTTAATGTTTTTTCGCTTAATGATCGAAGTTAGGCACCAGTGTCTCATGATCTCTGTCATTTCTTGAGCAAAAGTACTGAATTGTTAGACACAATGGTATATGAAAGTCTCTGATAAACTAGATCAGGTTTAAAACACACCTAAGTGCAAATTCATTTCTTCCTTTATAAAATCTTGTGCTTTTTTGGTACATATTGCATGGAATGAGGGGGTGGTATTAAGTGTATAGAATTACCTTTTGTGGCGTCCCAGAGTTGTAAGAGTTGAGTTTTCATATTTTAGGGTCATGAAACCAGTGCCTTGTTAATACTGGAGAAGATAACAGATAGAAACCTCATCAATGCAACCAATGCAGCCTTGCAAACGTAAGTATTTTCCGTGTCTGATGTAAACCGTATAACCTAAAATTATGAAGACAAGTGGTTTCTGCTTTTGTTTTTTTAGCATATTACTGTTGGAATTCATCTCATTGGTCACAGAAGCAGTTTAAACTGACACAACTAATTTCTAAAAGTATTGTATTACCACATTACAAAAACTTTTAAATGGAACTTTTCTAGAACATTGAAAATAATACTTTTTTT